AGTGCTGGGACTTAAGGTGTGCGCCACCACACCCAGCTATTTTAAATAAATCTTTAACATTTGCTTTTATTTTACGTGTGTGGGTATTTGGTCTGTATGGTTGTCTCTGCACCATGTGTGTGCCTGGCGCCCTAGGCGGCCCTGGAGCTGGAGTCAGAGAAGGTTGTGATCTGCCATGTGGGTGCTGGGAACTGAACCCAGGCCCTCTGTATTCAGTGAACCGAAGTCAGTGCTCTTTAACTGCTGAGCCGTCTTTCCAGCCCCTTTGTTGTTGTTGTTGTTGGTTTTGGCAGGGTCTCTCGATGTAGCCCTGGCTATCCTGGAGTTTGCTGTGTAAACTGGGCCAGTCTTGAACTCGCAGAGGTCTGCCTGGCTCTGAATTCTGGTATTAAATGTGTGTGTTATCATGCCTGGCTAAATACAGGCTTTAAGTTGGCATCGTACCCCATAGCATACTCTCCGAGATAGAAGGAGAGATGGCTTGGTGGTTAAGAACACTGGGTTGCTCTTCCAGAGGACCCGGGTTCTAATCCCAGCATTCACATGGTGGCTCACAACTGTCTGTCAAGGTTCCAGGGGTCTGATGTTCTCTTCTGGCTTTCTGGGCACCAGATGCACATGTGGTACACAGACATTCATACAGGCAAAACACCCGTACACATAAAAATATCAAAATAGCCGGCTAGTAATGGTGCACACCTTTAATTTCAGCACTTGGGAGGCAGAGGCAGGTGGGTCTCTGTGAGTTTGAGGCCAGCCTGGTCTGTAGAGGAAGTTCCAGGACAACCAGGGCTGTATGGAGAAACCCTGTCTTGATAAACAAAAAGAAAAAAGCAAAAAACAAATAAAATATCAAAATAATACAAAGGTTTTTTTGTTTTTGTTTTTTGTTTTTTAAGGAATTAAAGAGTTTATTGGGGCCTGAGAGATGGCCCAGTAGGCAAAGGACATGCTGCCCAGTCTGAAGTTCGATTCCCCAGGCCCCACATGGTGGACGGAGAGAACTGACTCCCTCAAGCTGTCCTCTGACCTCCCCCCATGTACACACACACACACACAATAAATAGCTGCAGATATAATGAAAATATTTCTATTAGTTTCTCCTTTATCCTCCGGCCTACATGCTTACCATGTAGCACATAAAGGGCTTACCTCACATCATCACTTGATCAAGGCCCACCCACCATTCCCTCCTACACCCTCGGTGACTGTTAGCATGGGGAATTCCACACTACAAGGCTTTGCTCAGAGTCAGTTTTTCTCCTAAGCCTCTTTAAAGGTCTTGACAGTTTCTTGACATGTCAGTTTCTCACAGGCGGGCTCTGCTCAGTGCGATAAGCCTGTCCTAACAGGAAAGGGCATTCCCCATCTATGACTGAGAAATTCAAAGGTAGCAGCAAAATCCCCTGACTTTGTTTCATTGGCAGAATAATGGTCCCCAAAGATGTCCACACTTTGATCTCTACAGACTGAGCTTGTTTGTCTTAGTTAGGATCACTCTTGCTGTGATGAAACACCATGACCAAATGCAACTTGGTGGGGAAAGGATTACACATAACCATAGTTACAAGTAACAGTTTATCTTCAAAAGCAGTGAGGGCAGACACTTACACAGGGCAGGAACCTGGAGGCAGAGGCCATGGAGAGGAGCTGCTTACTGGTTTGCTCATCACCTGGCTGTGTGTATTCTTTTGTGACTACAAACTTTATCTGTTTCTAGAATTCCTGAGTATAATTAACAATTATGAGCCTACGTTAGATTTCAGGCCTGTATGTCACATTATATGTGAACATGTAAATGCTCTGGATCCAGCCCGAGTGAGTCTCCTGCCCAGCCTGCATTCCTGGGCACACACATTCTTCTTTCTTCCCTTTGGGCCTCTTTGAAAAGGGAGCTGTTGGCTGTTTCCCCAGGTCTTCAGGTAACAGACACTTTCACATCTATTACATACAGGATACGTATTCTGGGCCCTTGGTATATTTTCTCTTCCTTTTACCTTGTTTCTTTTACAAGGTAGTTCATGGTCAGGGTCCTAAGACTTTTGTCTTAAGTTCTTATCGAAATGTAATGTTCTCAGCTGTGCATGGTGGTGCAAGCTTTTAATCCCAGCACTTGGGAGGCAGAGATAAGCAGATCTCTCTGAGTTCCAGGTCAGCCTGGTCTACAGAACGAGTTCCAGGTCAGCCTGGGCTACGTAGTAAGACCTGTCTTATACCTGTTGTCTGCTGGCATTCTGCAGGAGCACAACTCTAAGAAAAGAACCTGTCTTAGGGTTTTATTGCTGTGAGGAGACACCATGACCTGGCAACTTTTATAAAGGAAAACATTTAGTTGGTGCTAACTTATAGTTTTAGAGGTTTATTACATTTTCCTTATGGCACGTACCAGGCTTTTTCTTCTGGGCTGCCAACCCATTCCCAAACCACGACATAGAGACTTCTTATTATTAGTTATGAATGCTTGGCCTAGCTTAGGCTCCTTTCTGGTTGGCTCTTTTAGCTTAAATTAACCTGTTTCTCTTTGTCTACCTTTTGCCCTGGGGCTTTCTGTTTTTTTCCTTCTATATATCTTACTTTCAACGCTCTCATGTCTGCCTGGCTGGTGGCTGCCTGGCTTCTTGCCCCGGGTGTCTCCCTTGTTCTCTCTTTTCTCATTCTTCTCTAGCCTAGATTTTTCCTAGTCTCTCTGCCCACCAGCCCCGCCTATCCCTCTCCTGCCTAGCTTTTTATTAGACCGATCAGGTGCCTTAGCAGGCAAGGTGAAACAAATGCAACACATCTTTAATAATTAAACACACATCCTTACATCATTAAACAAATGTAATACACCTTTATATAGTTAAAGTAATATTTCACAGCATAAGCAAACGTAACACATCTTTACATGGTTAAAATAATATTCCACAACAATAGCAAAAAGCATGGTGGCATGCAGGCAGACATGGTGCTGGGGAAGGAGCTGAGAGTTATATATATCCGGAACGGCAGGCAGCAGGAAGAAAATGCCACACTGGACCTTTTGAGCATCTGAGACCTCAAAGCCTGCCCCCTAGTGACACGCCTCCTCCAACAAAGCCACACCTACCCCAACGAGGCCACACCTCCCAATAATGCCAGGTCCTATGAGCCTATACGGCCATTTTCACTAATACTACCACAGAAATTAAGCTGCATTTGTGGCAAAGTGTATTTTAAGGGAGAGTCCTATGAAGGGGTGTGGAGGTGGAGTTTTCCTGTCCTGACCACCCACTCCCAAATAACCTGCATCCACTTCCCAAATAACTATCTCAGAGACTTAATACAAATTATAAACACTCGGCCATAGCTCAGACTTGTTACTAATGAACTCTTACACTTTAAATTAACCTATATTTTTTTATCTGTACTTTGACACATGGCTTATGGCTTGTTACCTCATTTTCTACACATCCTGCTTCCTTGGCAACTGGCTGGTGTCTCTTCTGACTTCACCCTTCCTCATCCCATCATTCTCAGTTTGGCTTTTCCACCTAACTTTATCCTGTTCAGCTACTGGCCAGTCAGCTTGTTATTAAACCAATCATAGCGACATATATTCACACAGTGTACAGAAGGATTATTCTACAACATTTCCCCCTTTTGTTTAATTAAAAAGGAAGGTTTTAACTTCTTTTAGGGGGATGGTTTGAGACAGGGTTTCTCTGTGAAACAGTCCTGGCTGTCGTGGAACTCAATCTGTTGATCAGGCTGGCTTCAAACTCACAGAGATCCATCTGCCTCTGCCTCCCAAGTGCTGGGATTAAAGGCGTGCATCACCACTGCCCGGCTGGAAGGTTTTAACTTTAACATAATAATATTATATTATATACAACAAAATCAATTATCAAGAAAGAATTAGTTATAATATCCATTCTCTTTGTATTTGGCAAAATTAGAGAAAATACTCTTATCTTGGTAGTCTTATAGTTTTATATCTAATTTGCCCTTTATCATAACGAAGGTAAGCTATAAGTTTAACTATTTAGTCTTTAACTCCATCAAAGACCCCAGAAGGATGAAATGTTACCTAATGACAGGGACATCAGGCTCCCTGGACAGTCACCCAAAGCGCCTCTGTAACGTTGGGACATCCATCTTTGGCCTACAGGCCCAGCATATCTGACAGACTTTCCTGTAGTTCTCCTAGATTTATTTTTTTATGTCTAGTCAGATTTTTCAGGTAATCTTCCGTGATCAAACCTGATTTTTCTTTAACTTGGAATGAATTGATATCTTCTCATTTCCTGTAGAAATAAATAAAGCACAACCTCTTCCCCAAAAGCAGTATACCTTTTGACTTAAATTTTGAAGGTGAGACATACAGGTTGGTTTAATCTAGCAGCTTTAATCCAGTGTCTCCTAGCAGCTAAAAAATTTATAGACAACATAATAACATGTAGAATTCAAACTCTGTGTATTTTCCATCTTTACATGGCTTACTATATATTACTTTATTCTTTTTAAAAGACTTTATTTTATTCTTAAATCATTTTTTATACATCCTATACATCCTTTTTCTTCTCTCTCCCAAGCCTATGTATATTTTTAAACTCACCGTAATCCATTTAGAGGCTTTTTTTTTTGTTTGTTTGTTTGTTTTGTTCTGACTCTGTCTTTACTGTGTATCTGTATTGTTTTGTGATTGCATGAAACAATTTTTTTTAAATATTTTTATTTCATGTGCATGGGTGTGTGGGTTGCATGGATGTCTGTACCATCTCTGTGTGCCATGTGTGTTCAGTGCCCATAACGGCCAGAAGAAGGTGCCAGATCCCCCTAGAACTGGAATTATGGACAGTTGTTAGTTGCCATGTGGGTGCTGGGAATTGAACCCGGGTCCTCTGGAAGAGCAGTCAGTACTCTTAACCACTGAGCCATCTCTCCACTCCCCAAATTAGACAAATCTTAAACTGCTACGTCAGCTGTCAGCATTGCGTGGCTTAGCGCATGGCCGTTGCAGCAGCTGTCAAGAGACACTTTTCTGTAGCTGAAGAGACTGCAGGAACACGCCACCCAGCTTGGTCACGGCCAGCGGAGAGACTGCGGGAATCGCCTGCAGAGTAGCTCATGGTGTGCTTGCAACTTCAAGATACGTGTCTCTGTACTGCGGTTGGCGTGAGACTGTGAGACTCTGTTTTTGTTTAGAATCTTTTTAGGTCTTCTGTGGATCTTCGCTGGACAGTAGGCACCGTTTGTAGGCGGGTGGGAACAGAGTCTCAGATTGTGACTTGGTGAGGACTAACTAGTTCCCTTCAGCCTCATCCCAAGAGCCTGTCATCTTCAGGATGACAGCGGACGAACCGTCCTCTAAGGAGGAAACAGCCAGTATGAAGTTAACTGTGAGGATATCTGAGAGCAAGACATGTGCATGCACACACATGCTTATGTGCACAAATGCACATATACATGTAAAGGCCATAATTCTCACACATGCACAACCCTGTAGTTGCATAGTCACTAGTGCATATTTGTGCTTACGTGTGTGCACGCGTGTGCACCCATACACAAAATGTTTCCATTACATGCTTCCCTCGGGTTCACTGATTCACTTGGGAGCCCGACTGCTTGCCACGTACTCTCCTAAGGAATTCAGGCATCTGACGGGGAGAACCTGAGGCTTTTATCCCACGAGAAGAGAGCTCACTTCCCATGTACTTTGGAACGTTTTGGGTCTCACGGGTGCTGCTCCTGGATCCTGTATGGGCATCCCTGCTCAGGTCGCCACCCTGGGGTCTGGAGGCAGCCACGCCAACAGACGTCCTTGGTGTTGGTCAACAGTCTCCAGCACCCTCTCACCTGCAGTGTCTCGGCCTATCAGCCCCCCAGCCGGGACCCTTCCGGCCTTGGCTACACCATGAATGTCACCACCTTGGCCCCATGGCAGCAGTTACAACTTGACTCTTGACCCTCCTCCCAGCATAGGGCACCCAGACCTCCTTTTCCTACCTTAAATCTGTAGTAGGTAACTCCAGTAAGTACTATGAAAAATAAAATAATTATGAGGCCACTCCAGAATGCTGTACGTTCACGTCTGCTGCCCCCAGCATACACTTCTGTGGTTGGGGTAGTGGGCTGAAGAGGCTCTGAAAAGGGAAGAGAAAGATGAAGAGCCCTGTCCTGCTCAGGGTCTCCAGAAGGGCTTCTGCTTACCCTGGCAATAGGCTCTGTGCCCCCACACCCCTCTTACCCCATCTCAGGGTGAGGGGCTCAGGCAGCCCCTCATGCTGCACATGGCAGGTGTATCTCTGCTCCTCTCCAGAAGGCACCACCACAGCTGCCCACTTCTGGAAGGTTCCATCCCCTGCAGGCCTGGTCTCCACCAGCTCCATGTCTTGAATCAGTTCTTCCCCACCCAACTGCCAGGTCAGGGAGATCTCAGCAGGGTAGAAGCCCAGGGCCCAGCACCTCAGAGTGACGTCTCCTTCATGTCTGGGATGGCGGGTCACTCTTGTCTGGGGAGGGTCTGTAGTAAACAGATAGATAGGTGCTGGTAGGCACAGCTTTGTGTCTCCAGTGGAAAAAGGCAGAAATGGGGGACATCCCCAAGGACCTTTGGGACAGAGAGTAGAGACCTCAGGGAGGCTCACCTAGGTGACCACAGTCTAGGCGACTCAAAACTGTCCGCATCTGCTTGTGGGAAGCTACCCCCAGTACAGTGGCCCCACCCAGACAGCCGAGCTACAGCCCTGTGCTCAGGTGGCCATGGAGCTGGGCTTGGAGCAGCTGTTTACCCGTGCGAGTGAACGCCTCTCCTCCCAGGGTCAGGTATCTCTGCAGCCACAGGATGCATTCCTTCTCCAAGTAGCTCTTGTCTTTCTCCAGCCAGTACTCATTGTTTTCCCACTTGCGCTTGGTGTAACCAGCAATGAATGTGGCTGCTATATATTGCATAGAGTCCAAATCCAGGGTCAGGTAGTCCCAGCCATCGTAGCCATACTGCCAGTGTCCTGTGGTACGTCTGCCATCCCTCATCTCACAGCCATATGTGAACTGGAGGGTGTGAGGGCCTAGAACCCCCACGACAAGCATGTCAGGGACCACAGATGGATTTCCCAGGCCTCCCCTTTATGGTCCCTGTTGCCCTAGCACCACCCACCAGATTTCTTAGGTTCTCCTTAGAGGGCGTTCACATTCTAGATCATGTAGTCTGAGCACTGATACCCTTTTGAGTCAGCTGTCAGGGGCCAGGCCTAAGCTGCTTCAGGTCATAGTAAAAGATCATTGGATAGGGAGGTAGGACTTAGTTTTTGCTGTGTCGTCTCGCAGGTGATTCATCCTCTACAACTCTCTTCACCTTATACACATGGGAACCTAGAGGTTCCCCCACAGGACTCGAGTGCTGGCAGTCCCTGAGTCCAGGCATAACCTCCCAGGGACAGCATCACGGCACACGTGCGTGATGGCAGAGGACACACTGCTCAGTGTGGCTCTCTCTCCTCGAGAGAGTGCAGACGCTGACTGGGGTGTGCGGTGCACACGTGCAGTCCTGCAAGTGGGAAGTGCAGGCAGGTCATCCTCAGCTACGGAGCGAATTAGAGGCTAGCTTGGGCTCCATGAGTCCCTGTCTCAAAAACAGCAACAAAACAAAAACACTTAACCCCCCCCAAACAAAAACAAAAACAATAAAACAAACTGAGTCAAACCAACCACTGACCAACAAGAAACAAGCTTTTATGCTGACGCTTAAATTTGAAAATCTCTAGTGATTTTCAAAGTCAGCTGTGAGACTGCCTGGCTTGGAGTCACAAGGGTCCCCAGCATGAGTGTCTTCCGTAGAAGTTGTAAGCACTTTGAAGATCTGAGAGCAGATTGGGCCAGCCTGTTCTCAAAGGACAGTCTGTCGGGACACTGAGGGCCTCCTGCCTCTGGGGATGAGGCGTGGTGGGTAAGTTCTGATCCCCACCACCTTTCCAGCACATACCCTCGTGCTGGCGGATGCCACCTGCCCTCTGACGCTGGGTCCCAGAGCTGTTGTAGTACTGCTGTATGTTTCTCAGGCTGAGCTGGAAAATCTTCATCCGATTGGTGAAGACCTGGGTCTCATCAGCAAAGTAACCTGGATTTTCCCTCAGCCAGGCAACAGAAGGCTCTGCCTTCATGCTGTCGCTGTTGTAGTGGATGAAGGGCTGGTGGTCGAGGAAGCCGGTGGCAGAAAACACAGGGACCCTGGGACCTGGTGCTGTCACCGCCGTGTAGGAGTACAGCAGAGAGTGCGATCCTGAGGTAGGGATCAGGGTTTAGTGTCAGGTACTGACTGAGGACCCAGCTCCGAGGGTGGGAGAATGAGTGTGCCTGCGTGTGAATTGTAGAAGAGACAGGGCACACAACATAAAAACAATTTCATAACGACCTGCCAGCCAAATGAATCAAATTCCACACTGTACATTAGGATAATTCAGAGAATTGACAAAGAAATGTAAAATTAAGGGGCTGGAGAGATGACTCAGTGGTTAAGAGCACTGGTCACTCTTACAGAGGACCCGAGTTTAAATCCCAGCATCCAGGTGGCCCCTCACAACCATCTGTACCTCCAGTTCCAGGGGATCTGACACCTTCTGGCCTCTAAGGGCACTGTCCGCATGTGGTGCATTTAGGGGGGATGCTGGATCTCTCTCTCACACACACACACACACACACACACACACACCCGTGGGTCTTCTCATATCTGAGATTTTTGTTTTAAATTAAGAAGTTAGAATACAAAGTAATGGGTTTCATGTAGTGTTTTTGTGCATATGTGCTATTATGCTTGGATATGGGGTTATTTTGTTTTCTAAGAGCTGGGAATTGAACTCAGGACTCCTGTAGGTTGTTTTCATCAAATACAGTGGCTGCCCCTTAAGCAACTGATGTCCTAATCAGCAACTGCACTTTTCCACAAGGGTTGCAGCCAGTGGGAGTTCTGTTCCCTCAGGCACCAGCTCTCAAGAGAGGCTGAATAGCAAGTATCTAACCTCTCCTTGCTCATCTCCCCCAGAACCAGCACCCTTCGGCTCCACCCCCACTTAAGCCCTAGCTACATGTGGTTTCCCCCACCACTTCTTGTCAGCCAGTTGAAGACGCAGCCTCCTGACCACAGGTTAATTAATCAAACAGATGTAACACATCTTTGCATTATTAACAAGGCAGTAGGAAAAAATGCAACACACCTTAAAATAATATTCCACAATGCCTATATGCTTGAGAGTTGCTCTCCCACTGACCTTCATCCCAAGCACTTTTTCTTTTTGTAAAGATTACATTGGGAGGGTTGGGGACTTAGCTCAGTGGTAGAGCACTTGCCTAGCAAGTGCAAGGCCCTGGGTTCGATCCTCAGCTCAAAAAAAAATTACATTAGGGACTGAAGAGATGGAACCAGCTGCTTTTGCAGAGGACCCAAGTGTAGTTCCCCGCACCCACATGCTAAGAACCATCTGTAACTCTAGTTTTGGGAGATCTTGAAGGGCCCTTGACAGGACCGCAGCCATCTTAGGAAGAGGTCAGCTAGGGACAGCAGGCCCTTGTACAAACAATTCCAGAAAAACCGCAAGGGCCCCTCCACCCTAGACCCAGCCAATCAGAAGCTGTGCAAACCAGATGTTTCCTGCTGATAAAGATGGAATGCCATAACCGTCAGAGGATGTGAGTTTCCTGCTGATATAGATAGAATGGCACAACAATCAGCCTATTTCCCTGCGGCTGCAACCGTCCAGTCAGCTTAAGCCAAGCATCCCTGGCCCAAGTAAGCACCAATTCTGAGCCTGTAACTATATGGATTTGGAAGTCTCCTAACCCCCTGCCCTAACCACAATAAATATCCTGCCCTGCTACTGCTCGGGGTCCCTCCGGCTCCACCTCCGTCGGATGGAGGACCTGAGTTTTAACTCGAAATAAAGACTCTGTTTTTGCATTCGGATTAGGTCTCTGGGTAGCCTTTGGGGATTCTGGACTTTGGATACAACAGTCTGATGCCCTTTTGTGGCTTGTGCAGGTACTTCACATAGTGATGGACACAAGCACCCACAGAGTCCAGAAGAGTTGCCCACCGTGGGTGCTGGGGACTGAACTCCCATCCACTGCAAGAGCAGTGTGTACTCTTCACTAATGAGCCATCTGCAGCCTCTGCCCTTAGGCTGGTATCATTTCACTCACTGCTCTGTCCCATACTCCTGCCTCCTGCTCCTTCTCCAGATGCTGTTGTAGGATATTATTTTAAGGTGTGTTACTTTTGTTTATATTGCATTTGTTTAACTCTGAAGCTGTGTTCCTTTGCCTGTCTAAAACATTTGATGGTCTAATAAAGAACTGAATAGCCAATAGCGAGGCAAGAGAAAGGATAGATGAGGCCGGCAGGCAGAGAGAATATATAGAAGGAGAAATCTGAGAAAAAAGAAGGAGCCAGAGAAGGAGGAGGACATCAGGGGTCAGCCACCCAGCCAGCCACAGAGTAAGAGTTAAAGTAAGATTACAGAAGTAAGAAAAGCAAAAAGCCCAGAGGTAAAAGATGGATAGGCCAAGCTAGTTAAGAAAAGCTGACAAGAAACAAGCCAATCTAAGGTCAGGCATTCATAAACAGGAATTCGTCTCTGTGTCTATTTATTTGGGAGCTGGGTGGCAGGGCCTCCAAAAGAGCCAAGAACAAACAACAACACTTTGGTGCTCAACGTGGGGCTTGAATATCCCTAGCGCCTGAGAAAGTTGAAAAGAAAAAGAAAAGGGTCATGGCTCCTTTAAGAGGAGCTGCTGTTCAGCCGGGGGTGGGGTGGGGGGTGGGATGGAGGGGTGGGGGTAGAGGTTAAATAAAAACAGCAAGCTAAGTAAAAAACACCTGCCACAGTTCAAGTTGAATTGAGTTCAATGCCTAGGGGGTTCTTGGTCATGTACCTCTGACTGGGCTGTGGGTTTTAGGCTTGACTTTGATGACCCCAGAGGATCCAGGTGTAGGTTAGCAGTTTAAAGTTTGCTCATGTGGTCAAAAAAGACTAGAGATATGCAGTAAAAGAGATCCACATGGAAAAAAATTCTAAACAGGTTCCAGTGTGTTTTACATTTGCGTAGGCTTAAGAAAGAAAGAAAAGGTGTATGCACAGTCATAGAAAGAAATAATTTAAAAATAGTAAAGTCTTTAAAGAGAGAAGTAAAATAGTAAAAAAGAAAAAAGCCACGTAGAGATGGAAAATACACAGGGAATTTGGATCCTGTATAGTATTGTGCTGATTTTGAACTTTTTGAATGCCGAAGAGCAAACGACAGCTGCCAGGACATGGGATTGAAAGGACTGCTGGCATAATCCAACCTAATATTTTAAGAATGCCTTAACTTTAAAAAAGAAGTAAAAAAAATACTTGTCAATGGAAATAGAAAATACTTTAGAGTTTTCTTCCTATAGGAGATGAGAGGCTGTGGATTCCTTCAGGGTTAATATGGATCAGGTTTGATCAGGTGAGACCTCCTGAATCTTGACAGGTGATATCTGTCAACAGAGATTACTGCTGGTCTTCCCAGGACTTGGCCATTATCTAAAATTTTCTATCTGGGACCCTGAAATGTTTCTGTCCACAGACATCATACGCCCACATTCCCAAGAGTTGAGGTGTGAGGGTGGTTTTTGGTTATTTGGTGGGTTATGGATGTTTGTTATCATTTAGGGGAATATAGAATATTGAGAAAAATTTAAAGTTATTTTTATTACAGTGTATATATGTTTCTACTCTTGTTTAAAGGATTTTTCTATATTGATACAAATTTAAGCAAATTTAAGGTTATTTTTGTTACAACATAGTGCATATATGTTTTTACTCTTGTTTAAGGTATTGTACCTATGCAGTTCTTTTTAAAATGTAAGATAAAATTCTAGATTTTTTTTTTTTTTTTTTTGAGACAGAGTTTCTCTGTGTAGCTTTTGGAGCCTGTCCTGGAACTCACTCTGTAGACCAGGCTGGCCTCAAACTCACAGAGATCCACTTGGCTCTGCCTCCTCAGTGCTGGGATTAAAGGCGTGTGCCACCACATCGCCCAGCAAATTCTAGATTTTGAAAGCCATTATTATAAACTATTTAGGATAATCAAGAAACATAGGTTAGTAGTTAGCCATGTATAACAATCAAATTTGTAGATATGTAAGGTATGTTTTCAAGATCATATAGAGGTATATTTTAAATAGATAAATGGTCAAACACTTCAAAGACCTATAGAATATGACATTTAAAATGTTTTGTTAACCTAAGGTTTTTCATGATAATGAAACACATCTGCTCCTGACAACACCAATTTATTTCAGAAATGATGGGTACTGAAGAAACTCCTTACGGAGTTTGCTTTCATTATGGCAAGGCAAAGAAACTGTTCTTGCCTTTGACTGCTGACAATGTGCTGTGCAGACTGGACATGCAGGACACAGGAAAACTTTGCCAAATAAGGCAGGACAGTCCTTCAAAATTCCTGCTTCACAGAAGAGTCTGCCAGACATTCTGCAGGACACAGGGGAAAGTGACTGTTGAACTTTGCCAATACAAGCCAGGACAGTTCTTCAAATTCCTGCTTCACTGAAAAGTTTGCCAGATATTATGGGCCTGTAGGCTGAAGATGGATGCCCCAACATTGCAGAGGAACTTTGGGTGACTGTCCAGGCAGCCAGGTGTCTCTGTTGATAGGTTATATTACATCCTTCTGGGTTTTTGATGGAGTTGAAGACTAGATAGTTACAGCTGCAGTTTTCCTTAGTCATGATAGAAAGTAAATTAGTTGTAAAAATTTGTATTCACTATGATAGGGTAGATAATGCATTATTTTCTCTGAATATGCTAGCTACAAATGGACAGAATATTGTATATTAATTCTTCCTTGATAATCGTTTTGTTGTGGATAGTTTTACTATGTTAAAGTTAAAACCTTTTTATTTAGACAAAAAGGGGGAAATGTTGGGGAATGTTATTTTAAGGTACATTTCTTTCGCTTATGTTGCATTTGTTTAACTCTGTGAAGCAGTGTTACTGTGCCTGTCTAAAACACCTGATGGTCTAATAAAGAATTGAACAGCCAGGATCAAGGAGAAAGGATAAATCAAAGGAAAGATCAAGGCATGTCTGGCAGGCAGAGAGAAATATATATAGAAAGAGAAATCTGGGAGAAAAAAAAGGAGCCAGAGAAGGAGGAGGACTCTAGGAGTCAGCCACGCAATGGAATAAGAGAAAGACATACAAAAATAGAGAAAGGTAAAAGCCCAGAGGCAAAAGATAAATGGGATAAGTGAAGTGGAGAAAAGCTGGCAAGAAACAAGCCATGCCAAGGGTGGGCATTTATAATTAAGAATAATCCTCCGTGTGTGATTTACTTGGGAGCTGGTTGGCGGCCCCCCAAAGAGTAAAGAGCTAAACCAACCAACAACAAGCTGCTTTGCTCTGTGCTAGTTAAATCTGCTGCTTCTGCGTCATCTCTGTCTCCTGCATTACCTGCCTCCTTTAGGAGCTCTGCCTCCCTTTCACGGTGATTCCCTTCTGGTTTTGCCATCCCCTCATACATATGAAAGCACACACACACACACACACAATCTTATGTTTATTTTCAAAAATGTTTCTTTTTTGAGACAGGGTCTCATGTAGCCAAGGCTGCCTTCGAAATCACTGTGTGAGTGTGTGAGGCTGGTCTTGAACTTCTGATCCTTCTGCCTCCACCTTCCAAATGCTGGGATACAGGGTCACAGGTGTGAGGTACTACACTGGGCTCCATTTCAGCTTCTTTCAGTGTAGAAGAAAGCTGATAGGAGCCCAGGCTTCCCTGCCCCATCCACTGAAGTCATCTGGAGACTCCCAGGTGAGCAGCAGGGTGGGGCAGCTGGAGAGAAGGGCCCTCCCTGGGAGCCACAGTCAGAAGCCCTGTGTGTCCCCACCTCCTATAAAGTCTCTGTTTCTTTCTCTTGTGGTAAGAGGGAGCGACCCCAGGACCTGGACAGGCACTTTTCCAACTGAGCTACATTTTCACACTCAGTTTCTCTCCTTGTTTCTTAAAGGCACCCTTGCGATCTTCACATCTCTATCTACCAACAGCTACTGCATGCTTCCCTGTGTGACACTTGCCCTTTAAAATGCCCCTCCTTCACAGTCATCTCTTGCTCTCTAGCCTGTTCTCTGTCTGTCTGTCTGTCTTCCTGCCTCTCTCATGTCCCCACTTCCTGATGGCTTTCCACTCTCCCCCCATAAACCTCTTACACTAGATCTGTTGTGTGTAGCGTGTTCTCTCAGCGGCATCCCTTGGCAGGGCCCACCACTTGGATCCACTTTGCCACTTCCTGTCCTTTCAGCTGCTGCCACCCATATGGTGGAAGGAAAGGACCGATCCAAACTGATGGGTGATGTTGCTCTGGATGCTGTGAATGCGTTGCTCTGATTGGTTGATAAATAAAATGCTGATTGGCCAGTAGCCAGGCAGGAAGTATAGGCGGGGCTAGCAGACAAAGAGAATTCTGGGAAGAGGAAGGCTGAGTCCCCAGCCCCACCACACCCCCATCCAGGGAGCAGCATGTAATGGTGCACAGGTGAAGCCACAGGACACGTGGTGACATACAGATTAACAGAAATGGGCTGAGTTTAAGTGTAAGAGCTAGTCAGTAGTAGGCCTGAGCTACTGGCCGAGCAGTTTTAATTACTATAAGACTCTGTGTGTTTACTTGGGTCTGAGCGGCTGTGGACCAGGTGGGACACAAGAAAACTTGAAGCTACACCAAATAGGCTGTCCTCTGACCTCCACATCTGGACTGCAGTCTGTGCTGCATGCTACACATTTGTGTACACAGGTGCATGCACACACAGAGACAGGCACACAAATGATTAAATGTTAACTACAGTGTGGACACCGTATAAGTAAACAGGCATTTCCAGAAAACAGGGCAGCTCAGCTGTCAAAGCGCTCACTGCTCCCCGCTCTCCCAGAGGACTGAGGTTTGGTTCTGAGCACTCACATGGAGGGGCTTGAACTCATGTGGGCTAGCTCCGGGCGTCCCATGTGACACACACACACACACACACACACACACACACACACACACACACACACACACACACAAAAGCAAATACTCAAACACATTAGAATGTAAGGAAAGGCCTGTCCTGGCTTGGTGGTGCATGTCTTTAAGCCCTACTCCTGTGAGTTCAAGGTCAGCCTGGTCTACATAGTGAGTTCGAAGACAGCCAGAGCTACTATGAGACCACGTCCCATGTCTTTTTTTAGGTTGTTCTGGAGCTGGGGTTCTCTTTGTGAACCCAGGTCCTCATACATGGTCATGGTTGGCATGAGCCAACCCACAGCTTGTGTTTCTTTTTATTCATTGAGCTTCAGTTTTCTTTCTCTTTTTGTTTTTTCGAGACAGGGTTTCTGTGGGTAGACTTGACTGTCCTGGAATTCTCTCTGTAGACCAGGTGGCCTCGAACTCACAGAGATCTCCTGCCTCTGCCTCCCAAGTGCTGGGATTAAAGGCGTGTGCCACCGCCACCAGGCCTGAATTTTAGTTTTATGACAGGGTCTCATTTAGGACCTAAGGTGGCCTCTAATTTGCCAAGTATCTGATGGCCTTGAATCCCAGATCTTCCCACTTCCATTTCCCAAGTGCAACCCTTCTGCAAAATGGCTCGGGGTTGAGGTTTTTTCCCCCCTGCCTTGAATTTGCTCAGCGCCACAAAACCCCCTTCCCCACCCTACTCACGCGCTCCACTTTCCGGGGGGCGACTCAGGAACCAGAAGATAAGAACCCACACGGTGTCCGGCATATTCCGAGTGTGCCCTGCCTAGGAAATCAGACCTTAGAGAAATTCCAACTGCCTGTGGGAACCAGAAACTGTTTAACCTCAGAAGTGGGGGTGGGGTAGGGTGGAGTGTAGCAACTGAGAGGGGCGGGTCTGACAGGCGGATGTGAGGGGCGTGTCTTTTTTCAGTGGTCCCTGCAGGGCTCTCCACCTGGATGAGGGCCATCTTCCCTGGAGATGCGCCCCTCACCCCCACGTGGGCTCCGCTCCGAGCAGCCCACAGCAGGCAGGCGAGCGGCTGCTGGGTCCTCTGAGCCCTGACCGATGCTGATGGAGGCCCGCCCCTCCAGCTTGTTTACTTTTGAGCTCTGGGCGGTGTCTGGCAGCTGCGCCCTTCAGAGCGCTCTTCCTGAGGGGCTCGCCACTTCTCCACCCAGATAAGCTGTATGGGAGACCACAGCACTTCAGTTTTCTACCTCTCTCATTTTCTAGTCTTTGTAACCCTATCTCTCCAGGAACTCACCAGGCTGGCCTGGAATTCACAGGTTCCCAGCACCCAGGTGATGGCGCACAACCCTTTGAAGTACCCTTCTGGCCTCCATGGTTACGGCATTTACATGGAGTACGTCTATTAAATAGACAAACATACATATAAAATAAAAACATAAATCTGGGTCTGGAGAGGTGGTTCAGTGGTTAAGAGCACTTAACTGTTCTTGCTGCTCTTGTCAAGGACCCGGTTTGGTTCCTGACACCCAAGACAGGTGACTCACAGCTGCCTGAACTCCATTCTGGGGGCTCTCATCCCCTCCTCTGAGGGTTCCATACACACGCACACACATAGAAACACACATAAATAAATTAAAAAACAAAAAAACCCATAAGTCTTTAAAACCATTACATATAAAAACGGTCATGGTGGTATGTGCCTTTACTTCCAGGACTTTGAAGGCAGAGGTGGGTCTTGAGTTCCAGGCCAGCTGGGACTACACAGTGAGATCCTGGCTCAAAAAAAAAAAAAGAAAAAAAAATTACAAATAGAGGAAATGTGTACCTCAGCACAGTAAAGACCATGTATGGAAAACTCACGGTCACCATCTCACTGAATGGGGAAGAAGACCGTTCAGTTTCATGGCTGTTACTCAATGTAGCCCTGGATTTCCAGAGCAGGGGCCAGCTTAAGGGTGCGTAGACCACGGGGCCTCCATATAACCGGTTTCTAGAACACAGTGGGTGTGCTGGTGTGGGAGGAGAAGCCAGGAAAGAAGCAGTTCCTCAGACTCCGCACAGCCGTGAACTAAGTCAAAAGCTGCTGGAGAGAGAAGAGGGAGGCAGAGAGACATGAGGCCGTGTGCAAGACCGTCATGCAAAGAGGGTCATTGGGGTCATCCTGTCTCCAGGGCCAAGGGTGAAACTCACACTGTCATGGTTAAGAAACAAGATTTGTGTATATTTAAATTTAGTGTCAGCAAGAAAGGAGGCTGTGCCCCATTGCTTCTGACATTCCTCAGCAGAGGGGACTGGGCGGCCTGCTCCTGGGGGACACCTCACAGGAGAGAGCATGGCCCAAAGAGGGCCTCTCATCCCGGTTCTCTGTGTTAAGAGAGCGGCCTCATCGGCTGAGACACACAAGGGCCCTAGGGGCTCACTGTTCTAACTTAGGATGTCGGTTGCTTTCTTTTTCCTTCTGGGCAGTGTTTTCTGGTTTGGTTTTGTGTTTTCCTGCTCTCTAGGCAGCGCATGCCCTGGCTCCACGTGGTGTGAGAGCAGAGCGTCTTTATGTTGGTTTCCTCTGACCTGTTAACCCTTGCCTTGCAGTCATTCAGACAGAGCAGCAGGACCATTATGTCCTCCTGTTTGCTGTACCTGGGCGGGTCAAAGGCCAGGCTCTCACTGCATCCATGGCAGGAAATCCGCATTCCGATCCACCGTGTTCCTCCCGGCCTGTCACTGCTTGTCTCCTTAGCTTCCTTACGTGGTGTCCAGTCACCAAGTCCTGCACAACTAGGGACCGACCTAAGCAATCCAGAATTCAGGAGGCTGAGGCAAGAGGTTTGCCGTGAGTTCTAGGCCAGCCTGGGCTGCATATTGAGTTCAGAGCAGGGTAGGATCCAGATGAGACTTTGTCTCAGTGAAGGGGGTGGTAGTGCTGGAGGCAGGGCAGCTGTTAGGATTGTATGTAGATGTGTGCTGCTCTTGCAGAGGCCTGGGGTTCGGTTCCCAGAACCCACGTCCCCCGTTCATAACCACCTGTAACTCCAGCTCCTGATGTGCTCATCTGGACTCTTCGTTCACCCACAGGTACAGAGACACACAGACACATGTACAGACACACCCTTAAAAATAATAAAAATAAATTTAACAATAATAAAATACAATGACAAAATAAAGAAAAAATGGTCAAAGGATCTGAACAGACATTTTGTAAAACAAGACAAGCCTGTGAAGAACTGTTAAGATTGACTGTCAGAGAAATGCACGCAAAACCACAGGGGCACCTGCTTGGTTAGCATGTCGGTTAGCAGCAGCAATAATGGAAGAAAAACCACTGGTGAGGAGGTAGGGAAAAAGAATGGAAATTACCGTAGCCTTTGGGGGAAGCAGCATGGGCAGTCCCCAAACTAAAAATATAACTACCATATGACCCAGTTATCCACTAGCAAGCGTTTATCAAAGGAGAGAGAGGGAGGGTCTCGAGAGACGGCGGCGCAGTGAGTGAAGTACCTGTCATGCAGGGTGAGGGACTGAGTTTAGATCCCCAGCACTGGCCAGGGCAATGGACAGGTGGACGTACACGGCTCCCTGGAGCTCACTGGCCTGCCAGAGTAGCTGAACTGATGAGCTCCAGGTTCAGTGGAAGACAGCATGTCAGCCTCAGGACATATCCTCTCACACATGGACATATCCTCTCACACACATAAAAAGTGCCATTCTGCCATGAAAAAGAATGGAATCTTGCTGGGCAGTGGTGGCGCACGCCTTTAATCCCAGCACTCGGGAGACAGAGGCAGGCGAATCTCTGTGAGTTCAAGGCCAGCCTGGTCTACAAAGTGAGTTCCAGGAAAGGCGCAAAGCTACACAGAGAAACCCTGTCTTGAAAAACAAAAAACCAAACCAAACCAAAAAAAAAAAAAGAAAGAATGGACTTTCAATTCATGACAACGTGGATGGAACTTTATGTTAAGTGAAATAGTCCAGGCACAGAATGGTGGATGCCACGTGTTCTCTCTTACACAGGCTGCTTAGAGATCTTATCTCACAGAGAGAGAGAGAGAGAGAGACAAAGTGGAATAAAGATCACGAGAGGGACGAGAGTGTATCAGTCGGCTTTTTGTTACAGTAGAATGCTAGAGGCCTCTTCATATAAAGAAAGTAAGGTTTGCTTGAGCTCAGTTTTGGGAGCTTAGGCACACAGTACCTGCATAAACTCAGTGATGAAGAGCTTGTGTGCAGCAGATGACCAGTCACAGGACGGCTCACCCACTGAGCCACGTCTCCTATTTTAATTCTTATTTTTAGTTTTTATTTTGTCATTTTTTTTTTAACAAACATTTTTTCTTTCTTCTGTGATTGTAGGACTTAGCATAGAGACTGTTTAGATCAAACAGGGCATTTTAAATACTTAGAAATAGCTTATATGTTACAAAAAATTGAGGGGGTAGGGAGATGGCTCAGTGGTTAGTGTTTGCCATGCACGTGTGAAAACTGGAGCTGGCATCCTTGGAGCCCACATAAACGCTGGGTGGGTGGGTCGGCCTGCATGTAATTCCAGACTCCAGCGGTGGGGGATGGGATTCCCCAGAGCAAGCTGGCCTGCCTTATCAGGGCTTTGGGTTTGATTGAAAGACCCTGTCGTCATGAATGGCCATCACTGTCTTGTTTCTTGTAGCTTAGATTAGGTTTTGGTCTCTGTTACCCGGCTACAGAACGAGAGCAACTGGCTAGATTTTTACATTTCTTTGTTTTGATTTTATTACTGTTGTGTTGGTGATGGGGCGGCGTGGCGTGTGTGATGTGGCTGTGTGCTGTGGCATGTGTGTGTGCTGTGGTATGTGTGTGTGCTGTGGCATGTGTGTTATAACGTGTGGTGTGGCTGTGTGTTAGAACACGTGTGCTGTGGCTGTGTGTTAGAACGTGTGCTGTGGCTGTGTGCTGTGGCTGTGTGTTAGAACGTGTGCTGTGGCTGTGTGCTGTGGCTGTGTGTTAGAACGTGTGCTGTGGCTGTGTGTTAGAACGTGTGCTGTGGCTGTGTGGAGGTCAGAGGACACTTTGTGGAGTCGGCTCTCTCCGTCCACCTCTCCTTGGAGGGGTTCCTCCAGGTCCTCAAAGAGGAGTTTGAAGAGGACTCTTCCTCGGGTCCTGCCTTTCTGGGCAGAGGAGAACGGGAGCTGTCACGGCCTCCACCCCATCCCACCCGTCTCCGTTGGACACAGGGGACTCGGCCTGCGGCAGCCTTCAGTTTGCCAGGAGGAGGCCGGTTCAGGTCATCGCCAGGCTTCAAAGCATCTCACGGGCCCTCGGTGGGACTCTAGCTTCTGTCACTGGTACATCCCCAGCTCCCGGGCTGTGGGTAGACACCAGTTCTGGACACTGTTCCTGCAGCTCACATGCTCTGAGGATCTGAACGTTTCAACTCTGGAACATGACATTGAGCTGTTGGCCACTGCTGGTCTAACTGGTGTTCCGAAAGAATATTGAATGATGTGAGCAGGAACTAAGGGGGTACTAAGGGGGTGACGCCATTAAACCCTTGAAACCTGTGATTGGTGATGTTTCCCAGTCCTGTTAAGGGGCTGAGTGTGGGGTGGAAAGGTAGATGTCTAAAGAGATGGTTCAGTGGGGAAGAACTCTTGCCGCCAAGCATGATGACCTTGACCTGAGTTTGATCCCCAAAACCACATGTTGAGGGGGAGAACCAGCTCTCTAAAATTGTTCTCTGATCTCTACAACATTCCGTGTCATGCATGCATCTACACAACAGACACACAAAATAAATACTTAAAAAAAAAGCCGGGTGTGGTGGTGCATTGCTTTCAATCCCAGCACTCAGCAGGTAGAGGAAAATGGATCTCTGAGTTCAAGGCCAGCCTAGTCTACATAGCAAGTTTCAGGCCAACTAGATGTACATAGTAAGACCATGACTCAAAAAACAAAAATAAAAAATACCCTCCCCCAAGGAAAAACCCCTTGAGCTGGCAAGATGGCTCAGTGGTCAGGGTGAAGCAGCTGCCACCGAGCCTGATGACGAATGAGTTTGATTCCTAAGGACCAAACTCCAGCAGCTTGTCCCCTGACCTCCACACACCTGCTGTGGTACATGTTCCCACAACACACACACACAAAACACGTCAGAAAACAATTAAAATCCTTGTACATGAAGTAGAAATTGGACCATTTGGGGAAAGGGAAGAGACTGGGGGAGGGGGACAGAATGGGTAACGGCCACGAACGTGGTCATAGCATGTGGTATATTAAAATGAGAACATCATTGTGAAGTCCTTCTTCATTGTGATAACATCATTGTGATATTCCATCTGAAGTGACCTGCTGACTTCAAGACTACAACATCAGGCTGGACATGGTGATAGGTCGGGTTATCTGAGAACTTGGATGCGATGGCAGTGGCAGGCTGTTGTCAGAGATAAAACCAAGTGTGTGACCCACCACTCGAGGGTGTGGAGGCTAGAGGGTCAGGAGTTCGAGGCCAGCCAAAGCCACATGAAACCCTGTCTCAAAAACACAAAAACAAAACAAAAGCCCATTTAAAAAAAAACAAAACACAAATGATGTCCCCAAATTTCAAAGGTATAATTTAAGTAAAGTTAGTAGATGTAATTAATGAAGTTAGACGTGTGACTATTTCCATTTAGGGACAAGCTTGGGACAGTCACATAACTTTTTTGTGTCTACTTTGTCATGAAGCCAAAGTTTTCCTTCACTTTGGTTATGATGTGAAAGTTGCATTTGGGTAAAAGAAAGATAAATGAAAGGCTGGACAGATGGCTCAGAAGTTACGAGAATGCACAGCTCTCCCAGGGGACCCAGGCTCAGTTCCCAGGACCATGCTAGGCAGCTCACAGCCACCCAGCTCTACCCAACGGACATCTACCTGTGCATGCCTCCACACAGAACGAGAAAAGATGTAAAAATATGAATGAAACCGCTTTTATCTCCTTTCTGTGGCTCACTGAATGAGTATCAGCTTTTTTCCTCTCCCACCCTTCTCCCACCTCTCAGGTACTCTGTGAGGCCCTCAGACTGGGTTTTCCACCCTGCTTGGCTGCTGAACCAGACACCAGCAGGCCTATTTTGCAGCTGAGTAAGTTCTATCAGCAGCTTGAACTGGAGGGAAGGTGTCTGGAGCTACACAGAGAGATCTGACTGGAAAAGGACCATTTCCTGAGAGCCTGTGGGGAAAAAGAAACTTAACCCAGGAAAGGAAAGTGAAAGTGGAGGGACTGGAAAGGGGGCTCCAGGGAACAGACCAGCTCTCCTGCTCTTACACAACAGGGTCCTATCTCAAAACCTTCACATGTCCCTGTCCTCCAGTCGGAAAGAGGCCAGGAGGGTGGCAAGCCGTGGGTGACACAGCCTGGCTCATGGTCCCAGAGGCTGGACTGTGACCCCTGATCACATTGTTCCACTGAACCAACTCTAGGGAGGGCAGGGAGACGTGGCCCAGCGTCTACTAGGCAAAGTGCGAGTGTGAGAGGGAGAAGCTGGGCTTCCATTTTCCCTTGTGGAGGTTATGTCCAGGCTAATGACTCCTAAACCCAAGCTTTCTCCCCTACCCCTGTGTCATGGGTGAATTTTCCTGGTGTTGATTTTTTTTGGGGGGGAGGGGACAGGCAAGGCCTGACGTGTTTCTGTCATGTTTGCACACAGGTCCGCTGAGACAGGACAGCAGGAGGAGGAAGGCACAATGTCTCGGTGAGATGACCACAATGCCTCGGTGAGATGACCACGGAGCCACGAATTTGTTTTCTTCTACCTGGATTCAGCTTGTACTTCAACTTTGCATCCAGGTTTCTAGAGAAATCACCACTGCTCTTCCTTTGCCGTTTGGTGCTGCTTGGGGGTGACCAATGAGACTGGCAGGCTCCCCAGACATTTATACACTAGTTCCCCAAGTGAGTCCCGAAAGCCAAGGCTGTCTCTGGTCACATTAGAAGAAAAAGGAGGAAATAAAATGGTTATTGTGCAATGATATTAAGAGGTGGGTGAGAAGGGGCTGGAGAGATGACTCAGTGATTAAGAGCACTACCAGAGGATCTGAGTTCGATTCCTACCACCTTCGTGGAGTCTCACAACCTTCTGTAACTCCAGTTACAAAGGATATAATGACCCCTTCTGGTCTCTGAGGGCACCAGGTACACAGGGTTCACAGACATACATGCAGACAAAATACCCATGCACATACACTTGAAAGATGTTTTTAAGAGGCGGACTTAGTAGAGCTGGTCCTCTGAGCTTAGCCTGACCATCACCATCTTGGGACAGGAGCTGCCACGGTGACTGAGCAGAGACCCCAGCTTGCAGCTGGAACGTAGCAGGTAGCAGAACTTTAACAAAATTGAGGGGATAATTGATACTGAGTCTGTTGGCACTTTTCTCTTGGGGACAAGGGAGACAACTATAGAAAACTGCCCTGCTAGAATCCATTAGCCACCACCCCTCCTGGCTTGCTGCCATAGACAGATACCTAAGGCTCCCTAAGTGCATGTAAAAGAAAACAGTTAACCAGGGTGGTGGGACTCGGGGCAGCTGCCTAAGGTAATGTCCAATAATCTGTACACTGCCTTGAGTTAAATTCATTTCTCATGGCTGAGTCATTCTTTGAGTGGTTGGTATTGTCCAGATTTGGAGATAGACAACTTTTTCATCTCCCAAGAAATCCATATGACATTTGGTACCCGACGATGAATGTGGTGTGCTGTGTGTGATGGGAACACCCTGTCATAGTTTAGTTTCTGTTTTTATTAAATATTCCAACAGGAAGCAGCCTGTGGGAGGAAGGATTTTATTCAGCTTATAATTCCAGGGTACAGTCCATCAGGAAGTCAAGTCAGCGGGAACTCAGAACAGCCATGTCACACAGTCAGAAGCTGCGAGAAATGAATGCACACAGATGTGCTTGCTTGCTCAGCTGAATTTCTCCACCCATGGAGTTCAGGACTCCCTGCCTAGGGAATAGTGTGCCCCACAGTAGCCTGGGTCTTCCCAGATCAGTTAATTACAACAGTCTCCCACTGACAGTCCCTCCCTGAGACTCTTCCCATGTAATTCTAGGTTGTGTTTAGTTGACAAAGCTAGATCAACACTCCGAGTTCCTGCTGGACTGGGGAACTTGTGGTCCCTGAATGTCGCTGTTTGGGGAGGCCTGCAGTGAGGTGTAGCCGTGGTAGCACGTACCTACGATGGGGAGTCAGATATGCGGCTGAGGACAAACCGTTGCCTGAAGGAGGAACTCTGGCTAGAAGGGGACTTATGGCCAACATTATCTGCTTGATCATCAGATGAGGCATAAGAATTAAAAAGAGGAAGATAAAGATGCTAGCTGGCATAGTCTATAGCTGGTAGTGTGAAAAGACAAGAGTTCAAGTCCATTCAGGGCTAAAGAGTTTATCCTGGGATCCAAAAATCATGGACCCCTTGGGAAAGAGAGATACATGCAGTGGGGAGCTAGGGACAGGAAGAGGAGAAGATGATTGAGAAGTTGAACTCTTAATTGAAAGAAGAGAAATATCTATAATCCAGCATGCAGATAGGGAAAATTTGGCAACCCCAAAGTATCCACTTCTGATCTATTAAGATTATGGGAAGCTGGGCGGTGGTGGCACACACCTTTGTTTCCAGCACTCGGGAGGCAGAGGTGGGCAGATATCAGAGTTTGAGACCAGACCAACAGAGTGAGTTCCAGGACAGCCAGGGCTACACAGAGAAATTCTGTCTTGAAAAACCAAGGGGGAAAAAGGTCATGGGGAAACTTGTATGCAGTTCATGGGAAACCCTGGTAGTGTGTCTGCAGGATGTGGGAGTGTGTGGTGTGAGCTGGAGTGCTGTGGAGGAGGTTATATTACCCCCATACATCCCTCTCACCATGTCCTGGTTAACGTTAAGTGCCAACTTGTCACAACCCAGAATTACTGGGCAAGAGAATCTCAACTGAGGAATTACCTACATTGACCTGTGGAATGTCTGGGGATTTTCTTGATTGTTAATTGATGTAGGAGGGCTCAGCCCATTGTGGAAAGCACCATTCCCTAGGAGGGAAGTCCCAGGCTGTATAAGAAGGCTAGCTGGGCATAGTAAGCTGCTGGGGGATGTCTTTCTGTACGCTGTGAATATATGTTGTTCCCATTGGTTAATAAATAAGCTGCTTTGACCTATGGCAAGGCAGCTTAGAAGCGGTAGGAAAATCCAAGAGAGACAGGAAAGAAAAAGGCAGAGTCTGGAGAGACACAGCCTGCCGTCCAAGTAGTAACATGCCAGCAGATCGGTAAAGCCAGGGAACGTGGCAAAACATAAATTAATAGAAATGGGTTAATTTAAGATACAAGAGCTAGCTAGCAAGAGGCCTTCCAGAGGCCATACAGTTTATAAATAATATTAAGCCTCTGAGAGATTATTTTGTAAGAGGCTGCGGGACCTTGGGGCGCAGCAGGACCAGAGAAAACTTTCAGCTACGGAAAGCAACATCTTCCGTGGTCCCTGCCAGCTTCTCTGGCTGTAAGGTGAGTTCCTTTGTTGTAACATGTAGAATAGCAAGCAGGCACCATATGGATGCGTTCGTTTCTCTCTGCCTCGACTGTGGAAGTGATGTGGGCAGTTGTCTCAGCTGCTGCCACTGTGACTCCCTTAGTGACGGACTGTCTGTCCCCTGGAACTGAAGCCCAATAAACCTTCCAGTCCCTGCACTCTTTTTTGGATAAAGTGTTTTGTCACAGCAACAGAAAGGGAACTAAGACACATTGCTAGTGTGACATACAGGAGCATGAGGGACATCAGTCATGTAAGACCTCTTAAATCCTGGGTCTTGACTCTGCATTGTGTGACCAGTGTGGTGGGTCATGAACAATAGTGAAAGATCTTAGAATGCACAAAGACCAAAGCTTAATTCAGATTCCAAAGTGGTGCATTTAAGATGTTTCTGGCCATGCACACTCTGGCTTTGTCACATGACTTAACGGCAGCCTTCTTTCTGAACACACTGTGCACTCTGGATGTTGCCCTTGGATCGTGCCACTCTGCATACCAGGGAACAATGCTTGAAATTCCTCAGCTCAGGTTTGAGGCTACTGCATGGTAGGAATGGCAGTGTGTAATTGTACATGAAGTTTTGTGCTCTTATGGAGACGTGGTTTAATTACCAAAAATAAAGACTTGATATGTTTCTCACATTTAAGTGTATTGCATTATGTTAGAATGTTTGATTTTAAAAGTTGATATTTGAAAGGCTGGAGAGATGGTTTAGCAGTCAAGAGCATGGACTGCTCCTGTAGAGGACCTGGGTTCAGTTCCCACCACCTCATGCAGGCTCACAACTGTCTGTAACTCCAGTTACTTCTGGCCCCCGACAGCACCAAATACACAGGTAGTTTACAGGCACTCAAACAACAGAAATAAAAATCTTTTTAAAACTTGGTATTTGAGTTGCTGACTTGAGTCTCATTAAAAAAAAAAAAAAAACAAAATTAAAAAACAAAACAAAACCCTGCTCCAGTTTAGAATCTAGTCAGTTAGTGGAGCATTTTCCTAGAACACATGAAGCCCCAAATTTCTCAGGCAGTACTGCATGAAACGGGTTGCTACAGAGCAAGTTCAAGGCCAGCCTGGGCTACATGAGTCCCCCCCCATTTCAAAAAATAAGCACAAATTGTTAAATGAACTTTTGTTTGAGATTAGGACAGTTTCCGAAATGGACTTAAACATACCTTTGTCATTTTGTACCATGTATTTATATGAAGTAGCATTTTCAGTATAGATAACTATAAAATCAAACTATGAAAAAATATAAAAAACATTGAAGATGCTCTTCAGGATCAAATACTTGGCAGACTTAAATCACCCCACCCTATCCCTCACCCTGTATATAGCTCAGTAGCCCAGGGTGACCTTGGACTTGCTATGTAGGTAAGGATGACCTTGAACTCCTGATCCTTGTGTCTCCACTTCCCAATTACCAGGATTACAGGCATGCACCACTGCACCTGACTAAGTTTAAATTCTTTTTTTTTTTTTTTGGAAGCTAAGGATCGAACCCAGGGCTCTGTGCTTGCTAAGCAAGCACTCTACACCTGAGCTAAATCCTCAACCCCTAAGTTTAAATTCTTTAAAATAAGCATATCCATATACAAATTTGTTTTAATCTTTAGGAAGTGGTAAAATTATGTATGTATACCAAGTACTTGGTTTTAAAAATATATTAATGTTTTATTACCAGTAAATATTTGATTTATATAGCTGTTTTATATACCAGAAACCAAAGGCCTTGTAAAAATATCTTGGGTGGCCAGGGCAGTGCTGTTCTGTTCTGAATGCTGGGGCCCTGACACCAGGGATCAGGACTGAAAGCTCACAGACCAGAACGAAGCTCTGTGTTGGGAGATGAGCATATGCACTTCGGAGGAGAACGCAGTGCTCACTCAGGCTCTGGCCAAGGGGGCCGGGGTCTCCAAGGCTGCTGTGTATTTTTGTCTGTTAAAGTGTGCAGTCACGCCGGGAGGTGGTGGTGGTGCACGCCTTTAATCCCAGCACTCGGGAGGTAGAGACAGGTGGATCTCTGTGAGTTCAAGGCCAGCCTGGTCTACATTATGTGTGTGTGTACACCTGTGAGTGCAAGTGTCTACACAGCCCAGAAGAGAGTACCAGGTCCCGTGGAGCTGTGGTTATGGTAGTTGTGAACCACTTAGGCAGGTGCTGGAGTTGAACTCAGGTCCCCTGGAAGAGCAGCAGACTCCTCCACTGAGCCATCTCTCCAGCCACCTGGCACCCCGGTCCTTTTAATGGCCTGTGTGGGCAGTAGAGACACTAGATGGCTAACGATAAATACACAACAGAGTTGAACCGAGTGCTGTGACTGTTCATGACACTCTTCAGACCCTCCCCCCTTTTAAAGAAAACCATTATCATGAGAAGAACGGTGGCTCACAGTGTGGTCTCCCTGCAATAATGAAAGTGTCACAACTCAGCACACGATCATCTGTGCAATGTCACTGTCACTGCAGGACACTGCTGCACTACATTGCTGGAAACTGAGTTTCCATTTGGCACAGACAGACACAGCAGGAAAGGCCCAGCGAGGACTCAGATTTTTATTTTCAGTGGGGAGTCAGGAGCTGCAATGCAGGCAGCAGGGAGGAGGCAGGATGGAGGTGTTCTGTTGGGAACTGGAAGGTTGGTTCCTGAAAGGTCAGCATCCTGGTAAGCAGGGGTGGACTCCCAAGATCTTCATTGTCCTCGAAGGAGAAGAAACACCTTCAGACGTTTGGTGCTTCCTGATTCAGAACTTCTTACTCAGTCCCACAAGGAAGTTATCTGAAGCTACAGAACAAGATTCATGAATAGTCAGTATAAAGCCATCTCAGAGTCCCACCATGATTCATTAAAATGTCTAAATCTGAGAAGCCCTGGGACCCAGCCCTGTCCCCTTTGCCTCAGCCCCAATCCCCCCAGGCTGTCACTTTTTCAAGTCTCCAGAGACAAGTCGGATCTCTGGGAACTGTAACCGACTGCTGAAGAAGAAATAACAAGGCACACTCAGAAGACTGAGAGGATGTGGCTGGAGGAGGAATTATGGGCTGGCTGGACTCCCCACCAGCTCCAGCTTCACCCCAAGGGCCTCAGGGACAATCCCGCTCCCCACACTTACCTGAAGCTGGAGTATAGTTCCTTCCTTTTCCACCTGTGAGAAGAAAAGCTGTGAGAGACCAGGGAAGACACCGACCCTAGGAAGTTTCCAGAACTGACAGCAGACCCAGGTCAGAGACAGGAGCAATGAGGGGTGTGAATGTTTCCCATTAGTGAGGCAGAGCACACTTCTAAAAGGGGCTGAGAGAGAACCAGACCTGCCCTTTCCTACCTGTGTTTCTCCTCCTCCACCACACAACAGCCGCCAGAGCTACAAAGACAACTTGAACAGCAATGAGTACCATGATGAGGACAGCGGACAGAGGAGGAGGAGGCTCTGGAAGGGAAGGTGAGGGTCATGACCTCAGCTGTCAGCCCTGACCCTGCTCAGGGTCTGCAGAAGGCTCCAGCTTCCCCTGAACCCAGCTCTGCACCCACACCCTCCTTACTCCATCTCAGGGTGAGGGGTTGTGTCAGCCCCTCATGGACCACATGGCATGTGTATCTCTGCTCCTCCCCAGAAGGCACCACCACAGCTGCCCACTTCTGGAAGGTTCCATCCCCAGAAGGTCTGGTCTCCACCAGCTCCATGTCCTGAATCAGATCCTCCCCATCCCTCTGCCAGGTTATGGAGATCTCAGCAGGGTAGAAGTCCAGGGCCCAGCACCTCAGGGTGACATCTCCATTCTTTATGGGGTGATGGGTCACATGTGTCTTTGGTGGCTCTGAGGGAAAGATTTGGGAAGATGAGGTATCTTGCTTTCTTCTGTGGACTCAGCAGTATTCATGTGACAATTCTTGGAATGGACAGGAGAACTGGGGTGGGATTAGGGTGTCCATATATTAATAGACCCCAGCTAGAGTACACACAGGCACTGAGGTATCTGTTCTTTGGGGTGGTCTAGGATGTGAGTGTGGCAGTATGGGGTAGGAGGCCTCAGGGCTCTGCAGACTGATGGAGGGGAAGGGCTTCTGGTCCTGAGCTGAGTGAGGGCCACGAGACTCAGAAAAGCTGGAGTCAGACTCCAGAGACACTGAGTGCAGGGCACAGAAGGAGGCCTGAGAGAAAACCCCCCCGGGTGCCAAGGGCCATAGTCAAGGCTGACCTTCTGTAAAAGAATTAGTCTCCCTATGGGAAAAGCAGCCTGGAGTCTCCCTCTCCTTATTCCTCAGCCCAGTGCCTGCTGGACAGCGTTCTTCCTAGAAAGTGCCCCAAGCCTTTCCTCCACACTACCTGGGGGAAAGCAGGGAGGGATCACTAGGTACCTGAGCGCAGCAGGGTGGCTTTCCCCAACTCCAAGTATTTCTTCAGCCACTCTATGCAAGTGCTCTGCAGGTACGCCCTCTGGTGGTCGGCCTCGCCCATGTTCTCTAAATTGCTCTTAGAGATCTGTGAGGCCAAGTCGTTTGTGGTCCAGGAGCGCAGGTCGTCGTTCAGGGCGATGTAATCCCGGCCATCGTAGGCCTCCTGACAGTACCCGCGGAGCAGGCGGCCGTCCGGCCCCAGGTCGCAGCCGTACATCCACTGCAGAGTGTGAGGGTCTGTGGGGGACACGGTGGTCAGCGCCACCTTGCGGCCACTTCCCCCACAAACACCCCCCCCCCACGCACACACACTGTCTCTCAGTCCATAACCCGACCTTTCAGAAACAAAAGTGCAACCTAAACCTAAGACAAACTCTGCGGGTGTTTCCTGTTTGAGGGTCTGGGCAGGTGTTTGGATGAAACTAGTACCCAGCAGGCCTGGATGACCAAGGCCCGTCCCAGGGGCCCCGATCACAGAAAGGTGGAGTCTGTGATCGGGCCGCGGTCACTCACCATTTTCACTCTGGTTGTAGTACTGGAGCAGGGTCTGAAGGTTCAATCTGAAGTTCTTCCCTGTGTTCCTGGCTTTTCGTGTCTCCTCCTCCCAATACTCCGGCCCCTCCTGCTCCACCCACGGCGCCCGCGGTTCTACCCTCGGAGTCTCCGCGTCGCTGTCGAAGCGCAGGAACTGCGTGTCGTCCACGTAGCCGACGATGATGTACCGGGGCTCCCCGAGGCCGGGCCGGGACACGATGGTGTGGAAATACCGCAGCGAGTGCCAGCCTGGGGGAGCGTGCGGTGAGACCCCGGAACCTACTCCCGGCCCAGGGTTCCCGGTGAAGGCAGGGGAGACACCAGCCTGGGCAGCTAAGGTGCGCTGACGAGGTACCGCCCCCACCCGGCGCCCTGCTCCTTCCCGCAGAGTCCCTTTCGCTCCCCACCCCTCACTCACTAGCCTGGGTCTGGATCAGAACTGTGGTCAGCAGCGTGAGCCAAGAAGCAGAAGACATGGTCCTCACTCGTGGGGCTTGTGGACCTTGTTCCTGTTGACTGTGGAACTTTCAGCCTCCTTGTCGCTGATTGGCTTCTGTAGAAACAAGTCCAATAGGAATGAGAATCGTGAGTGCATCATTTGTGTCCACAGAGAAGAACCTGATCAGGGTTGAGAGACAAAGTGAAACTGTGCATATGGACAACCAGTGCTGGGCACCACCCTGGCGTCTTTACTAAAGAAAATGCTGTAAGAGCCATGATATGACCTGGGACTTTAATCGGACCCATGTTCTCTGGCTCTTATAATTCTTGGGCAGCCATGCATGCCCTGGATAGTGTGCCCCGCCAGGGACTCAGCCCGGCCCACCCGCAGGAACAGCCCCCAAACCTAAAGCAAAACTCAGACTCTCGGATCTCTGTGAGTTCGAGGCCAGCCTGGGCTAAAAAGCGAGTTCCAGGACAGGCTCCAAAGCTACACAGAGAAACCCTGTCTCGAAAAACCAAACCAAACCAAACCAAACCAAACCAAACCAAAGAAAACAAAACAAAACAATAACAAAAAAACGACAAAAAATTCAGACTCTGACAGCAGATCCCGCGGCCTCCTGCGGACTCTCAAACACTGAGGTCAGGGGAGATTCGGGCCCGTCCGTGGGATCCTGAGGGGCCGTCACCTCCGACCCTGGAGACACTCACCGTCCTGACTCTGGTGGTAGAGGTGGAGCAGGTTCCGAAGTCACGTTCGGAAATTCTGTGTGTGCTCCTTGAATATCCGCGTCTGGCGCTCCCAGTACTCCGGCCCCTCCTGCTCTACCCACGGATCCCGCGGCTTGGCTCTCAGAGTTTCCGTTTCGCTGTTGTTGCAACGGATGAACTGCGTGTCGTCTACGTAGCTGACTTCCGTGTACTCGGGCTCCATGAGGCCAGGCCGGGACACGATGGTGGAGAAATACTGCAGTGAGTGCGAGCCTAGGGGCGGCGATCGGTGAGACCCCGACCCTCCTCCCGGGACCCGGGGCGGGTGCGCGGGCCGGGAGGGGAGCAGGGCGCGGGGCTCGGGACGCGGTGGAGAAGGGCGGGAGGGTCTGGCTGGGCGACGCGGGGACGCGGCTTCCCCGGTGCCGATCCTGCTCTCCCGGAAGAGAGTGGTTTCCCACTGGACCCCGCACTCACCTGCCTCGGTCTTGGCGGAGCCTAGGGCGGCAGTCACCACCAGCAGGTGGTGCACAGAGCACAGGCGTCCTGGTCTTCAGGGTTCGCAGAGGACAAAGCACAGTCGTGTATGGTCCCGGACTTTGTAACTTGTCCTCACTGAGACTTTTCTCACGTTCTCTACCAACCCGCTCCCAATGAGAGTGTGAGGTGAGGTTGTTGTGGGGACGAACTTGAGAGCCATTGAGAGAGTAAGAAGTGAAACCAAAAGTCTACACTTCCCAGCCTAACCCCTTCAGCTCTCTCTAGACTCTGAAAGCCACTTTTAGGAACATGGAACTTTATCCTGCCTCTTTCCTCAGCATGAGCCCTGTGTATAACATTGTCTCCCTGAATCCAGGCCCCGAATCTTATGGACCCAGTTAACAATTTCCTCCAGACACAGTTTTTTTTATTGTTGTTTTTATTTTTTGTTATGTAGTTACTCATTTATTTTTGAGATAAGGTCTCACTATGTGGCCTTAGCTGACCTGGAACTCTCTATGGAGACTAAACTGGCCTGGATCCTGTTTGCTGCTGCCTCCTCCATTTGGCATAAAAGGTCCATTTTCTGTGGAACCCCTGTCAGGGTGGATCTGTGCCTTCCACCATTCTCATGGCTGCACGTACACAAATGTCCTTTCTCACCTCCTCTCGCTTGCCGGTGGAGAGTGCAGTCTTGCCAAAGGTAGGGTTTGTGGACCAAACCCCAATTTGTATTAAGGCTACAGGAAGTCCATTCTGTGGGCATATTCATCATGCCAGCCACACTCCTGTGGGACAAAAGAACCTCCCTCAGACACTCCAATCCCAAGGTCACACACAGTGCCTCAGGCAAGTGCCCTTGTCAAGTCTGAAAAAACACTAATAAAAGTGTCCATTCAATCAACCAGAATACCTCCTTGTCCTGCCCCTCCCTCTCCTGGAGAAGACTGCACCTCCTCTCACCAAGCTCTTCATAGTCCTCTCTGCAGTCACAATGGGGGGAGGTCCTAATGGGCTCCTCAAGGGTCTCCAGTCACAATGGGGTGAGGTCCTAATGGGCTCCTCAAGGGTCTCCAGTCACAATGGGGGGAGGTCCTAATGGGCTCCTCAAGAGTCTCCAGTCACAATGGGGGGAGGTCCTAATGGGCTCCTCAAGGGTCTCCAGTCACAATGGGGGGAGGTCCTAACAGGCTCCTCAAGGGTCTCCAGTCACAATGGGGGGAGGTCCTAACGGGCTCCTCAAGGGTTCCATCTGCACTAGGGAATAACAGTCCTGGCACCTCAGTGCCAGATTCCTGCCTGTTGATATTTCCTTCATACTACAACTTCCTCACTTCTCAGTGTGACTTCTTGCACTGTCCCTGATTCCTTAGGAGTATTCTTCCTGTGTGGATGTAATGCCTTGTCTTCTGAGATGTGGGAAGATGTTTCCACCACTGTGCTAATAAGTCCTGATCTCTAACTTCCCTGGAACAACCAACTTCCTGCTTTCATTTTTGAGGTGTCCCCCCCCCCACCCCCGCAGAGTTTCTCTGTGTAGATTTGCTCCTTTCCTGGAACTCATTCTGTAGCCCAGGCTGGCCTCAAACTCACAAGGATCATCCTGCCTCTGCCTCCCAAGTTCTGGGATGAAAGGTGTGCGCCACTGCCCGGCCATTTTTGAGATATTAAGAGTTGTTCATCTATACTCCTCTTTTTTTTTTTTAAATATTTATTTGTTATGTATACAGTGTTCTGTCTACATATATGCCTACAGGCCAGAAGAGGGCATCAGATCTCATTACAGATGGCAGTAAGCCACCACATGGTTGCTGGGAATTGAACTCTAGCCCTCTGGAAGAGCAGCCAGTGTTCTTACCCTCTGAGCCATCTCTCCATCTACCATCTATACTCCTCTTAATCTTCTTATACTTATATAAGCTCATGCATGGTCCCAAGCCTTAGCATGCGCGCGCACACTAACACACACAGACACACAGACACAGACACACAGACACAGACACACAGACACAGACACACAGACACAGACACACACACACAGACACACACACACACACACACACATCCTTGCTGTCAGCATGGCATTGCTGGCTTTCCTTTCTAGCCTCATTGTTCCCTGTGGTCTATGACTCTGTGAGCATGGCTGTTTCTTTCCTCTGAATACCTAGCAAAGGTCACATGATGGTTCCATTGCTGCTCGTTTTTATTCTCATTTTCCCAGGATGGATTTGGTTGCTGCCTGGAATACACCCAGAAAACTCTGTCACTTTCAAGGCATCTCTAGAGTCCCCATCAACACAGATGTCTGAGGCCAACCTGGGATTCCTCCTCAGAATCCAAGTCCACACCTGGATTTGACGCTCTAATTTCTGGTGGCTTGCTCACTGCACAGATTACTATGCAAACTCAAGACCTCAGAAGCCCCAGACTATGGCTTTGAATACTAGGGAAAGAATGCAAAGAACCCCAGGGGAGTTCAGCATCTCACTCAGGCAGTGTTGGATTGCCAGGTGCTGCAGGAAACAGCAGTGTTGGTTCACTTGCAGAACAAAGAAAATCCATGTCCTGGTCAGGGCTGAGGGGACTGACTCCTGAGGAACTGTCTGCTTCTTCCCTGCACTGTCTTCACAGGTGGGGACTGGCCAGCCACCTTCCTCCCTCTTCAGCACTTACCTTTACAGTCTGCAGAGCTGCTGAGCATGAAGTCACTGTGGTCACACCATCAGGCCACCTCTCACACAGGAACCTCTCTCTGGATTCCCTGGTGTTCAAGCTTTACTCCAAGGCCCATAGCCAGCTCAGGGCAGCCACATGGGCCACAACATGCAGAGCAGCCGTGGGCTCACCTGGGCAACTGGGGTGGTTGAGAGCTGGGAGCTGGGTGAGCAAAGGCACCAAGGGCAGCCAGGATGAAGAGGGGTGAAGTCCTCCCTGCTGTCATCTGTGACCTGAGCTTCTGAGTCCTTGTCCTCCTCTGGGACAGCTACAGGCATCAGAGTCTGCTGGGCTCCCGGGTGTCCACAGCCAGCTCCTGCAGCTGGATGCACTGGTGAGACTCAGCACCCTGCAGACTGCACTGCACAAGGTGGGCTGTTCATGGCCTGTTGCTGGCTTGGTGGCTCTCCTGAAGCTGTGTAGGAGCTAAAGGTGCCTGCAGACCTGCCATGGAGTCTCAGGGACATCGCTCTTTCACTTGCTGAAATTGCAGGGACCCAGACCTGGAAATCTAGTGAGAGTGAACTCAGCAGAGGTTCTTACTGGAGGAGCAGCCTGAGGTCTCCCAGGTCCACAGTAAACTGAATCCAAGGTGTTGGAAGAAGTGTCCTCTGGTTTGGGTCTCATGCAAACCAGGGAATGGCGACCCTCAGCTGCCCTGGATTGTGATCCTGGCTGTGTTGAACTCCTTCCTGCACCAGGCAGTTCAAGGTGGTCCTGATCCTCTCTGGCTGTGAGGTGCTGGCTAGCAAAATGTGGGGCAAGTTGAAGCCACAGTGGCAGGTGGGGTTGTGGGGTGGGGGCTGGTGCACCTGCCTTGGCAGCTCCTCCATCCGGTCCAGGAGGTGGCAGTTTAGGCACTGGATGCAGGTGGTGCTGCCACAAAGAGCAAGATCCCAGTGACTCTGAGGCTCTCCATCAGGTGGTGGTGTTGCTGGCCTCACTGTGAGTGATTGCTGCATTGAGAAGAGGCCCAGAGCTCCAAAATGAGATCTGCACAGGTTGAGAAAAGTTGATAGTTCACAAAGAGGCCAGCAAAAGGCATCAGATACCCTGGAACTGGAGTTTCAGAAGGCAGTGAGCCAACATGTGTATGCTGGGGATTGAAGCTGGGTCCCCTGGAAAGGCAGGATTAAAGTAATAATGATCCAGGCTTAAGTCAAGGAATTGTGCAACCTTGAATAGAACCCCAGTCCTCTCCCAAGATGGTCTCTGGGAGTCTCAAGTTGTTAACATGTTTACAGAGGAGATGTCCTTCCTTCCTGCATCCCTGTGGTCTAAAGTCACCTTAACAATTGTAATCCTGTTAGGTGACCCTGTAAAGCCATCTGCTGATCTCACTTAGGCTCCTAGGCAACACTCTTGAGGCTAATAGCTTCAAACCTCATTCCAATAGTTTATATGGTGGCCGGGCGGTGGTGGCACACACCTTTAATCCCAGCACTCGGGAGGCAGAGCCAGGCAGATCTCTGTGAATTTGAGGCCAGCCTGGGCTACCAAGTGAGTTCCAGGAAAGGCACAAAGCTACACAGAGAAATCCTGTCTCGAAAAACCAAAAAAAAAAAAAAAAGTTTATATGGCTATTTGTGAAGGTAGCACAGTCCAACAAGCCCACACACATGCTCTTGGTATATCTGTCCCTTCCTTCCTTCCTCTCTCTCTCTCTTTTTTTTGTTTGTTTGTTTGTTTTTTGTTTTTGAGACATGGTTTCTCTGTGTAGTCCTGGCTATCCTGGAACTCTGCAGACCAGCTTGGACTTGAACTCAGAGATCCTCCTGCCTCTGCCTCCCGAGTGCTGGGATTAAAGGCATGCATCACCACTGGCCGGCTTGTCTTTCTTAACATTTATCTTTCTCTTTTTCTTGGTTCCTCTCTTAATCCTCCTGTTTAAAGTCTACATTAAAATACTTTTATTGGTTCTTTTTCATGGCACTTCCTGGGGGGTTGGCTGTGTCAGGATGGAGCTCAATACCTCCTTCCCAGCCACCTGTCAGACATTCATGGAAGTGGACGATGAATGCAAGCTTTGTACTTTCCATGAGAAGGGAATGGCCACAGGAGATGATGCTCTGGGGATTGTGGAAGGGCTACATGGCCCCAATCGGTGAGGGAGGACAGACTAGGTTTTCCCATGAAGCAAGGAGTCTGGAATGTGTAGGGACCTTCTTGTTACAGACCAAGGAACACTGGACAGAGGAAGGGCAAGTCTGTTCATAGATGCATTGTGGATGCCAGTCTGGGTGTTCTCAACTTGGTTATTGAAGGCAAAGGAGACAAGGAGGTTCCTGGACTAATAGATACTACGATGTTTCAGTGGGTGGGGCTCAAAAGAGCTAGCAGAATCTGAAAGCTTTTCAATCTTTCTAAAGAAGCTGATGATGTTGGTCAATGTCTCGTCAGAATGTAAATGAAGAAGGTGAGAAGTCCAGGACCAGCACACCCAAGACTCAGCATCCTGTTACTCCATGCGTCCTGACACAGACGGTGATGTTCTGGAGAAACAGTGCACTGAGGAAAGTGAGGACAAGCCTGCAGAAGAGCTTAAACTTTTGGCCAAGTGAGTGAAGGAAGCCTAAGAAAAAATGCCGGGAGCAGATCCACAGGAGATGCAGGCTGTCTCCACTGAAAGCTTCTACTTAGATATGTCTGTTAAAAATGGGTCTTTAGAAGTAACACATAGTGATTAGACCTTCAAAAAATACTGCAGAGTGTGGGGCCAGCCAGATGCTCAGTGGGTAAAGGCGCTTGCCTCCCGGTGTGCCTTCCCTGGACCTTCATGGTGGACGAAGAGAACAGACTCCAGCCTGTTGTCCTGTGGCTTCCACACATGACCTATGGCTCTCACACATACACACACAACAAGTAAATAGATTTATGCCACCTTAATATAAGAAGATAGAAAAGATGTTTATTAAACCCCAGCTCTACT